GTGAACAGAAAATGATTTGATTGATTGTTGAAGCCTTTGTGTTGATGGACTGAAAGGCAAAATCAAGGTCCGTTTTGAATTTTTCTACCAGACCGTATCAAGGACAAAAAGCCTTATTTGGGCCATGGGTTGTTTTGGAGATTTGACAACCTGGTGTAACCAAGTCTAAGCTCACTGTTAAGCGACTGGGTTTTTTGTTCCACTTTCTGCACCATCATGTTCTCTGTGCATGTGCAAGCTTTGCTACAGTCGAAACTAAAATTGAAAGATTTCAGGTGTATAATATGTGGAGAGAGTCCTGCATAAAATGGCAAAAAGTAGCACCTTAGATTGGGGTGGTTGCTCGGGTGTTAAGAGATTTTTCACATGGTATATGTTCAGGCAAGATCCAGTCTGGTATAGGAAAGAACAACAATGCAGACTTTGATTGAATTACAGAAAAGCAACAAAACAAGTGAAAACATCCAAATCCATAACAAACCCATCCATTTTTAGTCACGCTTTATCCCAGCTGGGGTCGTGAGGGGTGCTGGTGTTTATTTGGACTGTGGGAGGAAGCCGGAGTACCCGGAGAGAACCCACACATGCACAGGGAACATGCAAACTCCATGCAGAAAGACCCCAGGCCAAGAATCGAACTTGTACACTGCAAAAACGATCTAGAAATAAGTAAAAATGTCTTAAATCAAGTGTATTTACCCTTGATTTGAATAGGTAAATTTGATAATTTGCCAATGGAATTATTATGTTTACCCCTAAAATAAGATAATTAGAGAATATGCACTTGGAATAAGACAATGCAATTGTGTTTTCTTATTTTAAATCTAAATTGTCTTGTCCCATTGGCAAAATATCTCTTTAATCTCCTCAATTTAAGAAGAAATGCACTTATTTTAAGAAAAAATGACTTATCTAGATTTTGATTTTTTCCAGTGTAACCTTCTTGCTGCAAGGCAGCAGTGCTACCCTCTTCTTCACCGTGCAGCCCCTCCATCACAAACTTACTTAAATTGTTCCCTAATTTTCAGCGCTGCATCAAATTTGTATGTAATATGTAGTTTAAATCAACCAAAGAATATTGATTTTTATATAAATTCTTGGCAAAAAATAAATAATATCCATCATCATTATTTTATTTGGTGGTAAATATTTCCACATTCTGGTCCTTGAACATTTAGAGACCAAAATAAACCATCAAAAGCAACATTCTTTTTTTCTAGCCTGATTAGCCAAATTATGCCATTTGGAAAATGTCAGGCAACTGGAGCGTCATTAGTTGATTTTCCTTTCCGTTTTTGAACTTTCAGTACCACGTTGACTTTTACAGAGCAATTCAACAAAGGGCAGCTCCACATGTGGCTGAGGTTATTCAGGAAAAAGCCTGCACAGAGGGTTAGAAGTCTCATTATTGCAGTTTTCCACCTCCAGTGTGAAGCTGGTTCTAAACACAAATGGTCAAAAAGGACAATTTTTATGGTGAAAGACTGAAATAACTTGAAACGTTCAATAAGTGATTGCTGATTTTGCTGATAGCATAGGGAGACATTAAATAAAAAAAGAAGTGTCACCTAGAAAAGCCTGGCTTTATCAGCAGCTTTAAAGGAATTCACTGGTTTAGATGTTTAAAAGGTGCATGGGTGATCACTCTCAGGGTGCTGGTGAAGATTCTGATAAATAAGACCAGAAGAAATGATCAGAGGATATTGCAAAAAGAGCGTCAAGTATCTTTCCGCCCATCTGTTTTTACCCTTTCAGGCATCTTGACCCAGACGTGTTCTGTACGGATGAGCGCCTTCTTGCACTGAGGGACCCTGGAGATGGAGAAGATTGGCCGCAGAAGCGAGAACATGAAACTAACGGATAATAAAATGTTTCCAGCTACCTTCAAGAACAAGATAAGGTTTGTTGCTCATCTCTGACTATCGGCCTCTCAAGTATCAGTGTAGAATGAAAGATACTTCATCTGTGCACATATCTGTATGTGCAAACATGAAGATGTTTAGAGGTTTTATTAGATAAAAATGCCAAAAGAGCAAAGAATCCAAAAAGTGTTTTACAAAAGGAATCTCAAACTTTTTGGCAACTAGAACATTTCTAAAGACAATGGATCAAGAACATTAGCAATCGAAAATCTTAAGATTTTGAAATGAAAATGTACATAATTTCAGAAAAAATATTAAATTTCTGTGTGTTCAATGTGTTTTTGTTTGGTTTATTGATTCTTTGTCCTTCTCAGAATCAAATTTGCTGGAATTATACCAACCAGTAGAGCATATTTCAATGTGTTTCCATCTAAAGATGAACACTTCTCCAATGCTTCATAATCTGATCTGTACAGCTCACTCTGTTACAGTGGACCACTTGGTAGCTTCAAAGTAATGCCTTTTTTTTATCAGTTTAGACTGGGACTTGATCTGGATGGAACTGAAAAACCCTAAAAAAAGTAGAAAAAAAAAGAGATAAATCTAAACAGGCTCTAACAGAATAAATACAAAATATTGCTCTTGTTAATGGCATTTATTTTTTGTAAGGGTGCCGGTTAAATGGGACTAATGGTAAAGAAGAACCAAGGTATCTGGTTTATTATGAAGAAGTTGCTTCATAAAGACCAAACATTCATCTAACATTCAGAAGGTCGGGTCAGGGGTTAGATTTAAAGCCGGCACATGAAGCATCATCACAAATACAGTCGTATATTAGGTTGGAATAAGTGGGAGCCAAATAATTACACAGACTAAGTGAACATGACTTTCTTTGTACAATGCTTTGAAAGGTCAAAGAGATTATCAAAGTGCTTCATTATCACGGCACACTCACCATTTGTCATCTTAAAATGCATCAAGTGTGAAGGTTAGCAGCCGTTAATGTCCAGAATTGTATTCATGGTCTGTTAATGGTTGTCCTGCTCTAGGATCTTCAGGAAGGAAGGACACAGATAGGATGAAAAATCATTTATAAATCAATACATGAAGTTAATTCAGGTTATTCACTTTACTTTTATATCTTAATGTATTGTTTCCACTCAGTTTGTTTCTGAAAACACTTAACTTTCCTGTAAAGCTAAGGTTTGTTGATTATTTTTAATCTTTTCTTCCACTGACTTTTTATTTAACCAATACCCATATGTAATTTTTTAATCAAATCTTATTGTAGATTACTTATTTAAAAAACTTAAATTAAACCTTTGCAGCTTTTTAGTGGAACTCAAGTAGTTAAAGTCAAATTAATGTCAAATTAAAAGTCCTGAAAGTTATAGATGATTCCCAAAAATATAAGGATAGTTGAGAACTGTAGATTTTAAAATGATGCAAAGTATCTTAACAAGGAACATGAAACGCTTCAAAAACTAAAAGCCAATTCGTAGCACACCAGGTTGACCTTTTAAAGCTGGTGCTATGAATTTAACATACTGTTTCAAAATATAGATTACATGATTTTGTACTTTATACATAAATTCATGATTTACTTTTGTAGCTTATTTATCTACCATGTGTTATTTTACAGAACATTTAAAAACTAAAATGGATGAAGAGCAAAAATACCTTGCTCAATTTTATATATATATATATAATTAAAAACTTTTTTTTTTTTTACAGATGTTGCTTACCTTAAAACCAACATCATACTGATGTTCACTGCAGTTAAAACCGGCATCCTCTTGCATCCACAACCAAACAGGAACTTGATGCAAACGTTTTCTTGCAAATCTTCAAAGAAAAGCATCTCTTCAGGGAAGTGCTGACAGACCGTTTTTATCACACGCAGAGAAACTGTAATTTACTGAGCGATGATGAGAGTGAAAGCATTGTGACGGTGTCTGAACTTTAGCGGAGGTCTGATGGAGCTGCTGAGAGCTGAACGGCAGCTTATAGTGACTAACCAATGTAAGATATGGATTGTCTGTGCCCTCTGCGCCGATTCAAAATGACAAACCTCGCAACTTTCCATAAAAATGCTAATAGGGATTACGCAGAGAGCCTCCAGCACTTTCCAGCCACCGAAAGAAGCTATTATCTGGAAATTTAGTGAACATTAGTCCGATAAAGATTCCTCCTTCCTCGCTCCGTCACTAGGTGGGGGAATTAATGTGATTTAGTTGCATAATAATTGAGATAGGGCTTTTTGTGTCTGGGATGCAGTCAGGTAAGTGATGGACATGTTGAATCATCATCAGAGAACTAAGTTAGAACCAACCCCCCCCACATATAGCACCGTCACATTGCATTACCGACTCAGCGGCACAGTATCATCACCACGAATTAGTGTTAATGAACAAAAGCGAGTCGACTGAGGAGAGAGATAATCAAACTTTTATTAAATGACTTAATCTTCTGTACATGCAAAAAGAGAAATAGATCTGTGATGTTGGTCTATATGGGACTGACCTTTAACCCCTAAATCTGGGAATCTCTCACTGATTTAAGATGATCTGCTGCAGCAAGGGGCTCCCTGTATTACAATGATCTAAACAAGAGAAAGTGGATCTCAACAGAATACATACCCCTTTAAAAAACAAAACTAAAGTCCCATCACACCCACAAGCATTTGGATTTTATTATTAGGATTTTATGTTTCAGACCAGCACAAAGTAGCACTTAATTGTGAAGTAAAAAGAAAATATTAAGGTCTTTAAATATTTTACATGTTAAAGCTGAACTGTATGGCATGCATTCAGCCCCTTTTATTCTTCTACCACTAAATAAATTGGCGTGTATTTAACTATCTTTAGATGCAAATGGAAAACAACCCCACATTTTATTCTTGGAGTATATATAGTTCTTTCAAGGCCTCAGAGACACCTTCATTGACTATGAAGAAATGTGGTGGCAGCATCATGCTGAGGGAAAACTGTTCTAGTGAGACAATGACCTTAAATATACAGCCTGAAGCTATTGATGGTAGAAATCAAAGCTCAAGGCTTCTGAATGGACCAGAATTAGACTAAAAGGTCTAAAGTTCACTCAAGTGCTTCCTGGGTATGTCCGACCTTAAGCTATTTCCAAAAAATATAGGTACAAAATTTTACTCCATCAATGTACAAAGCTGGATTGATATAGATTACCAAATCTTACATGATTTTAATTTCTGAAACAAAAACCTGCATTATTTCCATTTTCCTTCACAATTACGCCACAACGTTTGAAATCACCCCTTGTTATAAAACCCCAACAATATACAAAGATGTAAGTGGCTTTGATGTAACAATGTGGGAAGATTCACAGGTCATAAATGTTTCTGCACAGGACCGAACATAAAGTCTGTTTCCTTATCTAAACAGTGGATATAGTTTGATCCATCACTTCACTTTACTATCATAAGAAATAGTTCACCTAGCAGCCTGGGTGAACCTGAAAACCTATCACTATTTGTAGCAACATGTAAATATCACTAAAGCCTTTTGACACGGACTACAATAAAAGTCAAGATGTTAATAAGATGCATAAACTACAGAATTGATACATTTTCGGCGTCTTCATTTCATTTTGACATAACTTTAAAGATTTAAGAGGCTCCCACTGGATTGAAATTTACCAAAAGGTTATTAGAAATTGGAATAACAGGAATGCAATTTATTCAATAAAGCACCAGGCTTTAACAAGTTCAAAGAAAAAAAAAAAAAAAGAAAAAAGTCTCATGCACTTTAAGGCACTTTGGCTGCTGATACTGTCAAAGTGAGTTTAATTTGGTCCAAATGCAGCAGATCTTTATCTTTGCACGACTCAAAGTCGTTGCACAGGACGCAAGATTTTTTTTTGCTAGTAATTTGTTTTGTTTTTCTGTGCTTGGGTATTAGAGCGTATACATTCAATGGTTTTTCTTTATTTGACAAATCTAGAACATGAACAATCTAAACAGGCTATATACAACACATTTACATTAAATATGTTTACGATGTCAGATAAACCCCACCAATCAGCTCGGATTGGAATACACTTAAAGGTTTTAAGTCTCAAAGGTTCTGAGTTCATTTGCCCCTTATTTTCATTTCGTACCCATGTGCAGTTTATTTTTCTTGTCAAATGTTTTCAGCATTTAGAGATAAATAACTCTTTTAGATGAAAGGTTTTCTCAGAAGTCATATTCTACCCTCCAGCTCTTTTTATTTTGGATGTAATCCATGTTTAAATCATAAAGATCTCCTAAATATAATAGATCAAGTAACACTGATTAAACCAGAATACCCAAGTAGCCTCCTGCTGGTTCATATAGTGTATTACATCCACAGAACCACATTTCAACAGCAGAAAAAGAATGATTGTAGAAAATTGACTAAAATTTGGATGCCAAACCAGATAGAAAGGAGCTTCTTGACTGAAGTTACTATGAAACATCAATTGGCCCCATTTCGTACTAATAAAAAATGGGTACAAAAAGTAATTACAGGGGGGTGAAAAGGGGGCAAATTAACAGCATCTGACTTAAATGATGACAAGCTAAAGTAATCTACACCAAATGAAACAGATACAGGCCACACTGCAGGATCTGATGTCAGGGAGTTGTTGGCGTCGCTGGAGCAGCTCTACCTCGTCAGCTGTCCCACCACCTTCAGCAGAGTCTTGTTCTCCTGTTTGAGCTGCTCATTCTCATCTTCAATCTCATCCAGGTCCTGTGGAAAATAACACAGCACCGTTTGTAACATCCTAAACATGAATATTTAACGCCGTATGTTGGGCACCAGGAGTCTGAAAGTTTGAAGTTTCACTTGCTGAAAAGTCAGGCTGTTTCGATAGCAGCAAATTAGCCATTAACAGCATCAATTAGGAGAAAACGACGGCAGCTCCAAGTTGCCACAGCTCTCTCTCATCAAGCTGACACCTCTCATTTATTCTCGCCTCCATCACTGCTCGTGGTTGTGCTGTTGTTGAAAACGAGCTGAACAACAGTTGGAGGAAATTAAAGTGTCCTCCTAAGGAGGAACATCTTGGGAGTTTGAGGAAAAAAACGATCTAATCTTTACCCTGGGAGTTTTTATGAGAAAAAAAAACAAACAAAACAGCAGCAGAAGAAGTGGATTCATTAAGGTTCCCGACCAAGACTCTTTTTATTTGAAAGTCTAATCTACAGCATTGAGTAAATATCAAGTTCCAGTTTTTGTTTGGTTTGTCCTTCCACATGATGGGGCAGGGCGGCCTGCTGGCTGAATTGAAGTTTTCCAAGACAGAAACTAGACCGCAGTAAATTTACACAACTCACATTGCACCAGCAGAAAACTAAACAATCAAGACCCTCAATAAACTTCTAGGTATATTGGCATATATATGTCTTTATATCACCAATTACACACATTCGATCAGATACTAGGCTGCATATATTGACAGTTTTTGAAACAAAAAAAAAAGGATTAAAAAAAACAAATGCATTATTAGAAGCAGTATTAACTGTTTTATAGTCCATAAAAGGAGTTGTTTTGGTCTGACCTCTGTGTTTATCACTGGTTCTTATTTTGTAATCTGAGCATGATCTGTGGAGCTCCTCTGGGCTTTGCAGCGACTTTGGTAAAATGGACAGAAACTATTTGATTCCTTCAACCAGCATTTAGTATATTATCTCAACTTGCAACAAAACGTTATTTATTGATCCATCCATCATGCCATTGCAGTTTTTCTTTCCGCTACTTTCAACAGGTTTTTCTTTATGTGATGCTTAACTTTTACTGCTACCTTAAAGAATTTGTGTTTAATTATATTTTACTTTAGGTAATCCTAGCCCCCCTTAAGAAATAAATATAAGCAAGATGTATTGTATTTTTTAAATCATATTTTACAGTAAAATTAGTTTCATCCATTTTTTTAGATGTTTCACCAACAACTTAATTCAGATTTTGTCAACCAAAGAATATTACCCCTCTGTGCAATACACCTGATCATTATACTTATTGATATTTGAAGAATCCAGATAACTACCTTAAGGGAGTAATACCAATAGTCATGGTAATATTGTTTTCAATAAAATCATGGCAGGTTTTTCTCTTGACGTTCAGAAATGTCCCCATTAGAAATCTGATCTAATCGGGATCAATAACAGACCTCTGAACTTATGCGAATTTAGGTGATAGAAGTTCTCCCCCTGGAAAGCTTATCACAGAGGAGATATAATCCACAATCTGTGCGTTATCTTCTTTTTTTGATCCAAATAAACTTCCACGGTGTCTGTGGGTTCAATCTCCCTCTGCAGAGATGCCGACTGGATGAGCCGTTATCTCCTGCCTGACATACGTTTCCTGCAGCAGTGATATTTCTCATGCTTCTTCCTGCATCCTTGTATCGAGCCCTGCTGTTATAACAGGATGCATGTCGCTGTGATGCTATCGGTGACGCTTCTGTAATATTGCAGCCTTTGTGTTTACAGATGGATTGTGAGGCGTCCGTCATAGCAACAAAAGTGGACAGATAATAACTAGAAGGCATTCATTCTACTTGCAGCCAAAAATGAGCCCATCTCTGAACGCCATGTTTGATCTGTTTGGATTTTTTTTTTTTTTGTAGATCAGCTCCACATGAAAAAATATCAATTCTCTGAATAGTTCAGATATATGACAATCTTTTCTGCCAAATTTGCTCTGAAAGAAGCAGGAGGACAGATGTTCTGTCAGCCAGTAGGCAGCGTAGAGCTTAGCTTGGGTTGTTGATTGTCTGAGTAAAAAGGTTTAGAAGAATGAAATATTTTCATCTTCTTATAGTTAGTGTTTGATTGTAAGAATAATTAAAAATGTGGTCTTTTCAATTTGAACAAAAGTTAAAATACTGAAAAAACAGAAGAAGGGTTAAAGCAGAAAATGTCTTTATCAATAGAATCAGGCACATAATTAACATTAAAGAAAGCCCCACAAATTGAAAAAGACGTCAGCTAAAACCTGATCGTACCTCCTAATTAACGTGACACTTGAGTGTGACCTGTTGGGGCACCAGTTAGAAACAGATCTGAGGAAAATATCTGGCTGTTTTTAAGATTCATTAAACAGTAAGGAGGACACTGTATCCTGCTGGTTAAGCTGAACTTCAAAAGTCTTTTTTTTTAAGGAGGAGTCCAGCTGTGAAATAACATCTTTCCTCTAAAATGGCGACTGATTGTAATCTTTGTCTTCCCACCAGTCTGACAATACCTCTCTGATTGGGAAGTAGGCACCGTTGTTATCTCATGATCTTTTTGTTTGGCTTTTGGCTGTACTTTTAATGAATGTAAAATAGCACAGCAGGGATGAGAGCGAACATCTTTCAGAAAGTTTTTAATCAAATGTTTAAGTACTTCACTTTTTTGACAATTTTCACTGAATTCCTGCTTATCTGCATAGATTAAAACCTACTTTTGCAGGAAAATAAACCCCTGCACTGTTTCTTATTTATTAAAACCCAAATCTAGCATTTCTGTTTAAGCAGTCTTTATATGTGAATAAAAGAAAACAAAAGAAAAAAATGTTCCTCCAACAATACACTCAAATCTCCAGTAAAATGCCAAATCATTTCAAGGCCTACACAAGCCGCCCACTTTGCAAGACAAAAAAATAATAATCTGTCAAAATATCAGATGACAGAGCAGATTTTACTGATATTAATGAGGATGATGGAGGCTGCACCCACCAGGTTCAGCAATTCGATTTCCTCTTTCTGCTTCTCAATTATATCCTCTTTGTCCTGCAGGGCCTTCAGCAACCTGGATTGCTCCTGGAGAACAATGGCCAGCTCCTAAAGAACAGACAGTTTTACAATTAGTCAGCCAACTTATATACAAAATATATAAATGTACAGAAGAATCATTACCTAATAGGATCGTTAATTACAAAATTATTTTTTATTCATTTGGGGTATTTGCAGAGTTTCCGAAGTATAGAAATCCTTTTTTGTTTATAGCCATTAAAGTAAAAAAGATTAGTTCGATGTAAATCTAAAGCAACTGTTTCTAAAGGGTTTCATTATGTTACCTGCAAGAAACAGAGACGGAGCCAAAAAACAAACCAGAAGCCCAATGGATGGACAGATGGGGGGGGGGGAAGAGATAGATGAATGATGACAAACAGATAAAGGAAACAACAAAGGATGGATGGATATTTGGATGAACAATCAATGGTTTATGAATGGATGGATGAATAAGAAGATGTATAAATGGATAGTAGCATGGATGAATGAATGGACATAGCAACAGAAAAACACATATGCAGGAGGATTGAGAGGAGAGAGGATGGAGGGATGAATTAAAGAATAGATTGAAGGAATGAAAAACAGATGGGTAATGTTAAAGAATTGGAAATTATACCAAAGTTAAAATCCACATATCTCTTTAAACATTTCCTTTACTTATTCATACTTGGGAAAAATCTAAAATTAATTAAAGGACACCTGAAAGACAAATGTCCAGAACCATTAAACAGTTTTCCAAAGAAGTCGAAGATAAAAACTTATTTCATCAGTTTGGTTAATCTGAGGAAGAGACAGAAACTTTTCCCAATTCTTTTTATGTTTCTTTATGATAAAAGAAGCAAACAGCAATTAACCCTCAATAACCACGAAAGGTTCCACCTTTAGTAGAAAATGCGTTTTACTTATAGTTTACTTATAGTTCCAATGCCAATATACATTGGCATTGGAACTTATTAATAAACCTATAAGAGGATACACTGCTACATTACTTCCGAATAACATACTTTTCTATTTTCCAATTTCCTTTTATCCATTTAGTTATATATGGACAGTAATATTTCTTTTTTGAAGCAAATTGTCCCTAAAGTCCAAGCTGTCGTTCTTTTAGTAACATTATTTCCCCCTTATACTGTTTCTGTTGCATACATATAAAATTGTTTCATAGTGACAAATCTTGGAGGTGCAGAAAACTGAAAAATATAAAGCAGATGTAAATGTTCCCAAAAGCTAATCCTTTCTTTTTTTTTAAACCCTACACCTTAAAATATAATTCCTGCAATTCTATTTAATCATTGATTTATTTTAAGGGTTAAACTCAAGGTTAGTTATTTTTGTGCGTGCCATTTTACTCTGCATTCTCAGTGTGGGGCTTTTAGGTTATGTCCTGGGATCTAAAGTTAAAATCTCCAACAAACAGACCAGCATCAGAACTTAGCTACGCATATTAAGAGCAAAAGACCGAACCTGCAACCAAAATAAATGCAGCGCAAAACACCTTTTCCACAGCACTTTCAGTCATTTGACCCTTAGAAACATCTCACGCTGCAGTCAGACAGGTCACCGCCGTGCTGACTTTAAAAACCTTTCTTCCAAAGCTACTCGTGTGACATTTGATTCCAAGTGGAGTTTTTCACCGTAGAAGCAGTGAGAGGTTGAGTGTCTAATAGTGGCAGTGCAGAAGGAAAAGACATCTGCGCCGTTAAAAGGTTATCTCTTCCAACAACATGGAGGATTTACGGACCAGAGGTTTCAGAGGGAAGTCAAAAATTAAACAACTGCACATAGCATTGAAATCGTCATCTGAAAAGAGCTCTTTATAGAAGCATTAGGTCTAACAATCTAATGTTAGTAACAGAGAAATTGAAGCACAGAAGATTTAACTTTAAGTTGAAATGTAATCCACTGGGTACAGTGAAAATAAGGGTGAGACACCAGGTCTTTGTAAAATCTCTTGTTGGGATGATTTTGATTATTTTTTTCTTATGCTACCAATAGTTTAGTTTTAGTTTAGGATGCTCTACAATCAGACTGATTATTAGTACAGACATCCTAATGTGCATTCCTCTATTTTTTTAAGCCCAAGCGCCAATTTATCAAGCTAAGGGTACGCACAAAATGGGGATCTACTGATGTCACTATATACCAAAATCAAACTTTCTTTTCTTCTCATATGCTTCATAGACACTTTTTCTCTTACGACCTTCTGCCATTTTCAAAGAACCGTGGTGAGAAAGGTGAGCTTCAATGACTGAATCCGTAGCTCACCACAGATATGCGGCTAATAGTGTGCATGAGCAGAAAAATATGGCTAACAGGACGAACACGTAGGTTGGCCTTACATAAATATATCTCCAGAATAATTGACAATTAGAAGGACCACTTATTTAAATGATCCACCCGGAAATAAAAGATCATCCTCTATACCTTTAATGATTAACCGATTACTAAATTAGTTGACGATTAATGCATCCTATGGGGGCATTAAGAGCTGCTGGAGTCCATCTAGCTGTCCACATTTGTTCAGATGTTTGACATCTCAGCTCAGGCGAGAGGCAAGGTCACCAAGACCTTGGGATGTCTCCTTTTGCATGGCTGTTGGTCCTTAGAATCAGAATCAGAGTTAAAGTATTTCTGATTCTGATTCTAAGGACCAACAGCCATGCAAAAGGAGACATCTCAAAGGGCAAAAGAAACCAGTTATCCTACCATGCATATTTTTGGACTATCAGAAGAAACTGCAGTAACAGTAAAGAAACAACTTTATACACAACAAGAACATGAAACAGAGGTGGGGACGCGAGTTTGTGACTCGTACTCGACTCGCACTTAAGTCGTATATTTAATGACTTCAGACTCGACTTAGACTTGCATTTGAAGGACTTCAGACTCGACCGAGACTCGCGATTTCCGACTTGTGAACAATATTTTATATTTTAAGTGTTTTTTTTTTTACTAACTTGACTGATCGGTGCTCGCCCTACCCGCACACAGCAGAGGTTAAAAAAAAAAAAAAAACGGCAGAGGGGCTGTCAAACAGTCATGTAGCACTGACGTCACTGACGCAACGCTACGTGACAACGCTATGTGACATATGAGCATGTATTTTTCACTTACCAGTTCAAGATAATGATTATTCCATAGATATAATAGCGACCTTTAAGCTATACCGTCTCAGTGTAGGAGATGAAAACACAAGAAGAAACAAGCAAGCACGCAAATTATTGAACTTATTTTTATTAATCATGCGATTAGAATTTATTGTGCGATTAATTTAATATTGCAACAGGCCTACTCTAGACTTGACTTGGACTTGCAAAAAATGTCTGACATGAAAACACCATGTAGGAGGGCCGTAGCCCAGGATTTCAATGTGGGACTTTTTGGCTGAAAAGCATCAGATGAGAATAGTGCCACAATACAGCCTACCCCTTCAACATAATCCTATCATCAACACTGGAAATCACTTTCAGTCTAATTAGCCGGCTGTTTACTATGCAAGAGGAACAGATGTTCTTTAGATCGGTTCCTTTTATTAGCAATATTTACCTTCAGAGAAATATGTGAAGCAACCATCATGACAATAAAATTCCCTCTAAACCTCTGAGGCCTTCATTGAACATCTGTATTTATTCTTCTATTCAATGACACACGTTTTCTATGTACTAACTAGATGACTTGTGAATGCAGCTGCTTTTTACTGGTTTTAATTTAGGGTATAGTGTCATATAGGCGTAAAGTTTCTAAATAAATACACATGCATTTCTTACTGATGGAATATTTCTAATAATAAAGAAATTATAAAAGAATTTATCTTACACTTAAGTTATGCACCAGCTTGTGTTGGTCTTTGAAGTTAAGTAATATTGCGCCTGTTTGGAAAGAAAACCTCCTTTGACCTTCTAACAGCAGGCAGGGAATATTCCCACAAACGGCTTTGCTCACCTGAAGCATCGACGGAGCAGATGCTCCGTTTACTCACCTTTTTGTTCATAGAAAAAAAAAACTGTGTGTTTGTAGCCTGATATTTCCCTATATGATGTTAGTCGTGATGACAGGTACAACATGTCTCTGGATCCTGTGGAAGTGAAGAACAGCTGAGTGAACTTACCATTTCCAGCTCCTCCACCCTCTTCTCCAGACTACCACCTCCACCCTCTCTGCTGTGGCGGTTTTCTCTCTGTCTGCTGCTCCCACCGGCCTCCTCTTCCATCTCCTGTTTTGCAGAGCTGTAAAAAAATAAAACAAACCATATTTAAACCTTGTTAAACTTAAATGTTGGTTTTTAAACTACACGTCCTTCAAGAAGTTGAAGGACATGAAGGGGAGGCATTCAGGTCTATTCAAATGTGAAGTATGTTAACATTGAGGCTTTTTGAAGGTATGAATCAGAGGAACATTATTAAACTTCAATAGGATGACACATCCATCTTCAAAAGAACAGGTGGGAATATGTTCTGCGTATTTGCCCTTTCAATTAGGCCTGAATTATTAACACCCACTCTGCCTTTTTCTCTTTTTTTTCATGGTGAAGACAAAGATGAGGACTGAAACTTACTTGTACAAAAGGCTTCTGATTAAGAAACACGCAGTTTCTTCCAGCTTCAAACAACCTCACTGTCACGGCTTTTAAGTTGCAAAAAAAAGTTATCAAAAACATTTTTTAAATAACCTTTAGCCAAACACAAACATAATCTCTTTTTTTTTTTACTTGCAGCTTAGAACACAAATCAACTGAAAAATAATTTTCTTTCTTTTTGTTGTTGACCTTTTTCTAATAACAAAATTTGATGCAGAATGTGGGAAGTTTATAAAATCTCCAAATTATAGTGAGATGCTCACGCTTAAATTGACAGAAATATCTGCAGTACATGCTGGATAGGAATGCATGATCCAAGAGAATCTTAAAAAAAAAATATTGTAAACATTTCTAATTTTTTCTTTGGTCATCTATGGTTCCATCGCATTGAAATGCTATCCTCTGCTCCCTTAAGACCTTATCCAACTAGCTGAATAATAAATAATAAGCAAACTTCGAAAAACTATAAACACATTGGCCAACAACAGTTGCACTCCAAATATTTCTGTCATAAGTATTGCTCACACTTACAGCTAAAATCATATATTGTGCAGTTTATTGCCAGAAAGGAATAACAGACAACATCCCAAAGTACTCAGATTAAGGAAAACCAGAGAAGAGGAGGTGGATCATTGACTTCAGATAACACCATCCATCCATCCATCCATCCATCCATCCATCCATCCATCCATCCATCCATCCATCCATCCATCCATCCATCCATCCATCCAGGAGTTTTACACATCTGTATCTGTACCATATACTGACTTAGGAAGCATGGAAGGTCCTTTATTTGAAGGGAAGGAGGTTCAGCTAAACTTAAAGGCATGAAAGAGGATTTTTCTCAGAAATTAAATGTCCAGAGTCGTCTAAAATTACATGATTGATGGATTGCATTCTTGCACTTATGGCTCCCCCCCTCCAAATAATAAAAAAATCATAAACTCTGGCCATGGTGGGGCCTACTAAACATTAGCCAATCTACTTTCCCTACTGTCTAAAGTAGATTGGCTACTTGTTTTTCCAGCAATCATTGTCCGTATGTGCCGCCATGGCGTTAATTACGTAGGATCAAAGCGTAACTCATGTGCTGTTTGGCTAGCGGTCCGCCATTATGCCGAAGCATGAAGAAGTATTCCTACATTTGTTTGCTGCTGCAACTTTTTTTTTTTTTTAGCTATTTGTTCACTCTTTTTTGTAAACTGGAGCATCAATTGCCGACAAGAATCCTGACAAACCTAATCGGAAAAGAAACCTTTTTTTTTGTTGCAGTTGAAAAGAGGAAAGTGGGAGAGAACAGAAGCCCTGAAGGAGTAAAAGGGTCTGAAAACTGATTCCTGGACAGGAAAATTATGTTTAATTCGTAAGTTTAATTTTTTTAAATTATGAAACGTGCAGCAACAAGAACATCCAAAAATGTATAAAATAAACTTTCTGGTCCAAAATGTTATGTTCTTCACCGTTTGATAAAAAAAGCTAATTTTGGTCTACTTGCAAGTGAAAATCAGAATAACCCATTAGTCTGAAAACCAAGAGAGTAAGAATCGCCCTAATTCAGATGCTTTATGGACATCTATAGTGGTTCCAAGTGTCATGGCAAAAATTGTATATTTTTCCTTGTGAAAGGTTTTGATTATTTTGATTTGGTTTAAAGTCATTTTCAAAAAAATGTCAATGTAAACATTAAAATCCAGACAGAACGACAAGACTTCATTGCTTAGTAATGTCACTTTCTCAGCTAGCAATATTTTAATGTATAACAACCAAATTAGCTGAGCTTTAAAAAAGAGAAAATACATCCGACTACAACCAGAAACAGGTTAACACCATCATTTGCCATCTGTTTACAATCTTGTTTGCTGTTTAACTTTAAAGCCTACCTTCATTATTGATTAAAACTCCTTGGTAACTTATTCAAATTGTTTTATTTTTGCCGCTTTCCTATATGATCAGCAATCTGGGTCTGTAACTACGGCAGCATAAAGTAACCTCTTCCTCTCTACAGCTTTGGTTCCGATACGTCACTCTGATGCAGTTAGAACACTGCTAGTTCGCCGCCTGGCCTGCTGCTCATACTAGGTAGCTGCTTGTGATAAAAAGCTAAAACAAGCAGCAGTCATAGCTGTTTGTTGCTGTCAAGGCCTTTTATTTGGCTTTCAAAGCCACAGTATAAAACATTTGAGATTTCCTCACCCATTTGTACTGAGCCTGCAAGGCTATTCTGTTGCAGAAACCGGCTTATCTACGACTCTTCTCTTCAGATCTTCCCTTGAATTTTGTGGCACTCTCTGTTACTCATCATCTCTAACCTTGCCCAATGCTATATAACCACTGGCAGCAAAACAGATTGTAAGCATGAGTAACCTGTTGTGAACAGCTTGCCCAGTGTCCTCAGGTTTATGACCTAACCTTGACACTTGCAAAAATAAATATTGTGATTGTGTCATAACTAGTTTTTTTGTTTGTCTAAACATAAACCCTCACCATCTTGTAGGTAATTAAATTAGACTTTCCTTTTTTTCCTGGAAAATTAGCCATTTAAAATAAAGAACATTCATGTAAATATTGCATTAACTTCTAACCTGAACTTTATGCGACCATTTAAAAATAAATCTTCTTCTGGCTTTAACAAAAATTATATTAAAACACTGAATAGTAACACTATAGTGCCAAAAATATTTTTTCACCAGCCTTAACTTGCATCTGAGCTTAAATTACACACATTTCCATATTGGTTCAATAGGAAGTTGTTCTCCCCATTGCTGCTTGAACAGCTTTGACTCTTCTGGGAAGGCTGTCAACAAGGGTTAGGAGGGTTTATGGGGATTTTTTTCACCATTCTTCTAGAAGTGCATTTGTGAGGTCACGCTGATGTTGACGAGAAGGCCTGTCTCTCAGTCCTCCTGCTCTAATTCATCCCAAAGTTGTTCTATTAGGTTGACATCAGTCTTGTTGGAAGAAGAAGGGGCCGGATCCAAACTGTTCCTACAAAGTTGGGAGTATGGGATTGTTTAAAACGTCTTGCTATGCTGAATTATTCAGATTTCCTTTTACTAGAACCTAGGGGGGTCAAGCCCAGCTCCCAAAAAACAACCCCAGATCATAATCCCCCCACCACCAAACTTTACAGTACTGTTCTACTTAGGGGTGTAAATTACATCAATCATGGCGATTCGATTCAGTATCGATTTCCTGACGCAACGATTCGATTATTTTCGATACTCAAGAATACACCACGATGCGATTCGATTCAATTCGATTAATCTGTAAATTTTTTAATTTTTTTTTAACACCTTACAGGCTAAACAAAGTTTCAAGTTTGAAATAAATCAATGAAAGCTGTAATATCGTTAT